GCGCCTCCCTGTCGCGCCCCGAGGCCAGTCATAGGCGGGCTGAGCGGTTCGCCTGAGACTTCCGTACCATATATGAGCCTGAAGCTGAAAAGCTAACAACAGTTTTACATATGGATGGGGCCGCTTCCAGGATGTGGCTCTCGCCTGGGCGCCGTGCAAAGTCGTTTCGAAAAAAACTGCAAGTGCGTCACGGATTGAGGGTGGGTGGTTTTCAAGATGTGGCTCTCGCCTTAACGCTGCGCACATTCGTTCTCAGACTTAGCAAGAGCTGCGCGGATTGAGGGTGAGTCGTTTTCAACATGTGGTTCTCGTCTTCGCACCGCGCAAAGTCGTTCCAAAGTGCAAAGGCTTCACGGATTGAGGGCGGCTCGTTTTCAAAACGCGGCTCTCGATTTAGCGCCGTGCAGCTTCATTGCAACGACCTGCAAGAGCATCACGGATTGAGGGTGGTTCCTTTTCAGAATGTGGTTGACGCCATAGAGCCGCGTGTAATCATGCAAACCAGGTGCAAGAGTTTCATTTATTGAAATCGGGTCCTTTTGAAAATGTGGCTCTCGTCTTAGCGCCACGCACATTCGTTCTAAAACACGCAGGCGTCCCGCTGATTCTCACGGCTAACGTACCAGAAATGGAATGATAGACCGATGCAGGATTGTCAAGGCGCAACACTTACGTTGATTCGCGGTGTTGCACTCTCAATATAACGGCGTTCTGGCACGATTCAGGTGTTGCACTCTCAATATAAAAGGCGTTATGGCGCGATTCAGGTTGACTCATGGCGTTTATGGTGTTTTTGCACGCTTCCAGATTGTCACACAAGTGTCCGCCAACGGGTCACTTCCCGCAGTGGAAGTGAATCATTGTAGGGGCCTGTGAAGAGTGAACTTGGAGGGAGGGTGTATTACAACATCTCTGATGAGCCTTGGGTTTGCACTGGTCCTCCTCCTCCTCCTCCTTCTCCTCCTCCTCCTCCTCCTCCTCCTCCTCCTCCTCCTCCTCCTCCTCCTCCTCCCCCCCCCTCCGCATGTCTCGTTCATTGCTCGTCGTTCCTCCTTCCCTCCTCCACGCTGCGCCGACGGGGGGCCGCAGCCCTGGGGAGAAAAGGGCTTCGACTTTGAGCCCCAGAGAGGCCAAGCCCTCCCTGGCGACACAGCCAATTCGGGTCTGGCCAGGCCCATGCTCCTGCATGCTTGGCGTCTGCACTCCCTGTGGGGCTCTCTGGGATCTCCTGCTATCGCCAGGGCTCCTCACGCGCAAAAGGAGCCTGGAGAGCGGCCTCAAGAATCGAGGCGGCACCGTGCCCCGACCAGGTCCAGGGAGGGCGCGCTCGCGAGTCACCTGTGGATATGGTACTGCAGCCCGCTTACGTCCAGCCGCTGGGTGGTGCGCGGAGGGAGGATCGGCGGCAGGCCACGTCGCGTCAGACAGACCTGCCCTCTTGCTCCCTCCGCCTTCCTCGCTCCTCCGTACCTCCTTGCCACAAGTCCTGCCACGCGATGTACTCCCATCCACCGGTCAGCTCCTCCAGCTCCTCCTCCTCCTCCTCCTCCTCCTCCTCCCTTTCCTCCTCCTCCTCCTCCTCTCCCCCCTCCTCCTCCTCTTCCTCCTGCTCCTCCTCCTCCCTCCTGATCCTCCTCCTCCTCCTCCTCCTCCTCCTCCCCTCCTCCTCCTCCTCGGCCTCCTCGGCCTCCTCCTCGTCCTCCTCCTTCTCCTCCTTCCTTCCCTCCCCTTTCTTCTCCCTCCTCCTCCTCCCTCCTCTCCTCCTCCCCTCTCCTCCTCCTCTCCTCCTCCTCCTCCTCCTCCCCCTCCTCCTCCCCTCCTGCTCCCTCCTCCTCCTCTCCTCCTCCTCCTCCTCATCCGCCTCCTCCTCCTCCTCCTCCTCCTCCTCTTCTTTCATTCCTTTTCCTTATAAATACCTCCTCCCTGTCGCACCCCGAAGCCGGTCGAAAGGGCGGGCTGGGGGTTTTGCCTGAGACTTCCTCATAACTTATGACCCTGAGGCTAAACAATTGACAACAGTGTCATTAATGAAGGGCGGGTGGTTGTCAAAATGTGGCTCTCGCCCTAGCGCCGCGCGCACTCGTCTCAAACATGTGCAGGAGTTTCATTGGTTGAGGACGGGTGGTTTTCAAAATGTGGCTCTCGTCTTAGCGCCGCGACTTCGTTTTAAAACTTAGCAGGAGCTACCCAGATTAAGGGCGGGTGGTTTTCAAAATGTGGCTCTCGCCTTAGCGCCGCGCACACTCGCTGTAAAACATCGCAAGAGCTTCACGGATTGAGGGAGGTTCCTTTTCAGAATGTGGCTCTCGCCTTAGCGAAACGCACATTCGTCTTAAACACTCTGCGAAAGTTTCACTGGCTCCCATGGTTAACGTATTAGAAACAATGTTTCAGAACTGCTCAAGATTTGCAGGGCGCAACGGTTACGCTGAGTCGCGGTGTCGAAGTCCCAGGAATGGCGTTCTGGCGGGATTCGGGATCGACAAGACGCAACAATTAAGTTGATTCGTGGCGTTGAAGTCCCGAGAATGCTGTTTCGGCACGCCTCAGGACCTTCAAACGGTTGTCTCCCAACGAATCACTTCCCTCGGTGAAAATGAATCCGTGTAGGGGCCAGTGGAGAGGGAGCTTGGGGGGAGAATTTATTCCAATACCGTTGATGAGTCCCGGGTTTGCACTGGCCCTCAGTCCTCCTCCACCACATCCTCCTCCTCCCTCCTCCTTCTCCTCATCATCATCCACGCCCTCCTACTCCCCCCAAGCGTCCAGCAGTGAGGTGATGCCCAGGAAGGAGTCAAAGAAGTTCCAGCGATGGTGCGGCCCGGTGAAGAAGGCCCCGCGCTCCAGGTAGAGCCGGGCGGCGAGCTCGAGCAAGAACAAGATCTGGGAAAGGCAGGAAGGTACTGATACCGCTAGTCCCAAGATCTCTCCCGGGGTGCGTTCTGACCAGGGCTTCGAGGTGAACGTAGCGGCGGCGACGAAGGCCTCCCAGGAGGCCCAAGAAGGCGAAAACGAGCCAGGGACATTGATGTCGTGCCTCGTTGTTTCTCTCCTCTGAGAACCACGAAGAACATGTCGATTTGTCCGAACACGTCGGGCAGGCTCTTGCCATTTCGGATCGAGTTCAGGCTCACGGACGACTGAATCCCCATGTACACAGTGTTCACCTTAGAGAATGAATCGCGGACGCTTCCTCTCGTCTTGGTTTGAATGTATTATATCGGTGGATATCGCCCGATAGCGCCAAATAGCACGGAATGACGCTCACGGAGCTCTCAATGACGACCAACAATGTCATGAGAGGGAGATGAATTATGTACGCTTTGCGCGCGGTTGGGCGCGCTATTGGGCGCCGAGGGGAGGACCGAAAGCTTCCGTGAGTTGCGTTCTAATCGGCCCTATCGGGCGCGCGGAAGGGTGTACTGCTGCAGTTCTTGCCATGACACCACGACGAGCTGATAGCGACCCCGGGGCCCTTTGCCTGGAATAGAATTCACCTGCACTATAATTCAACTGCACTAGAAACCACCTTGCTTTTGCTCGTTGCTTTCTAACTCACATGCGCTAGACAGCGTGGAGGAGAAGCGGGCCCTGGAGCAAAGGGGTTCTGCAGTGTCCTGCGCTGCCTGGCTACCTGCCAGACAACTCCAGCCCGACCCGACCCGAAGACCCAAATTTCGGATTGAGGGAGGGGGGAGGGGGTACAGTTGAAGCGCTGTAGTAAGGAAGCCCAAATATGGGACGAGGCCCCTTTTCCGAAGTTCAACTTCGATTCCCATAGAAAACCCAAGGAACATCTAAGACAAACTGTAAAACAATTAAGGAACACTGAGCCCCTCCCCAACGAAAAGGGTTTCCTTCTTCAGCGGCCCGACTGTACGGGCTCCACGTGCTTTTGCCATGTTCCCCGACGTCCCCCCCAACTGGGAATGGAGGGCACATTGGGGCCTTCCGATTGGGTTGGGGTGGTCTGGTGGGTGGTGACCTTCGGCGCTACGGTCGGCCGCGAGCCCGGGGGGAAGTGAGAAGGGGCGGGCCTTCGCAGAAGGCTCGAAGTCCCCCAGCTTCCTGAGAAGTCTTCGAAACCTTCCCCGAGGACGCAGAAAAAGCCCTCAGAAGGGCGGAGGCCAGAGGCCTTCTGAGAAGCCCCGCCGCCTTCTGACGAGGCCTTCTCCTCCTCACTTCCCCCCACCCTCGCACGCCGCTGTGGGTGGTGATCTTCGGCGCCACGGGGCCCTCCACGGGTCCGAGCGCCGTCGAGACGTGGCCCGGGCCGAAGAGGGGGGGCCCTGGAGAGCCGCAGGGCGCAGGGCCCTCCCTTCCCTCGGGACCGGCCACGGCGATCCTTCGGACCACGCCCCCCCTCAGGGGCCACGATAGGGGACACTGTCGGACTTGATTGGACAGGACATGCGAGGGGACGCAAGACCCTTCCGGGGGCCACACTGCCATAGGAAAGTAGGAGGCATGGGTCGCGAGACACAGGACACAAGGGTACCCTTGATTTCACAGTATCGACCTACTAATCAGGGCCGACCGTAGGCATAGGGGGGATGCATCGACCCCCAATCGCCCATTGGTCGCCGACTTGGACCCGATAGCCCCAAGCCGATCTTCGCCGAATCCAGGTCGATGTGTCCCCCCCCCAAGCCAGTCCCCCCCCTATCGTTGCCCCTCACCCCCGTCGGGCGCCGATGCACCGCCGACGCATCACTGGCGGTGTATCGGCGACGCCGGCGATGCATCCGCGCCGTCGGCGTGGGAAAAAATCGGACTCCACATCGAGCCGCATCGCCGATGCATCGGCGATTCAGTTCGATCCTTCGACCCCATCTACATGTCCCAAAAATCATGCCTGCGGTCTTTGCTGCTTCCATATCACCGCAACTAGGCAGACGGAGAACATCTGCATTCGCTTGTCGGTCTTACCAGAAAAGCGCGTCGCCCGCATCAAGTGGCGCAAATCCTTGCTGATATCCTTCCCCCAGTACACGCTGCCATCAGCGCCCGACTTCCGGTCCGCCCAGGAGTGGTCTGGCGAGCCTCTCATCCTCCTCCTAATCCTCCTACCTCCTACCTCTTCATCCTCCTCCTCCTCGATCCCCATCCTCCTCCTCCTGCTCCTCCTCCTGCTCCTGCTCGTCCTCCTGCTCCTCCTACCCCCCTCTCCTCTTCCTAATCCTCGTCTTCGTTTCCTACGTCGTCTCATTATTGTTTTAAGTATGAGTGTTACCGTTCTCAGTCTTATAATTATCATTGTTATTATTACTGCGTATGCTCATTATTACTACCCGTATAATTATGATTCTCAGTATCCTGCATATACACATATATATGTCTCATCAGTATCCGTATTGTTAGTGACAGTATTATCATATTCGTAGTAGTAGTATTAATTCTGACTCGTAGCATTACTATTCTTATGATCCATATAGGCTTGTCCTATAGGAGTCCTAGCTCAGACCCTATTAATTGGTCTGTCCCCCCACCCCATTCCTATGCCCCCCTCCCCCTAATTCCTATGGCTATGCCTGTATGCCTCCCCCCTAACTCCTATGCCTACGCCTGCCAGTATGCCTGCTTGCTTGCACGCTTGCTTGCTTGCTTGCTTGCTTGCGCATGCTTGCACCCTTGCTTGCTTGCTGATTTGCGGATTCGAAGCATGCTTGATTCCTCTGGTTCCTTGATTTAAATCGTTTTTCATATAGATTTGGGGTCAACGCTGGCTGATATGGTACTATTATTACGAGTAGTAGTAGTAGTAGTAGTAGTAGTAGTAGTAGTAGTAGTAGTAGTAGTAGTCGTAGTCGTAGTCGTAGTCGTAGTCGTAGTAGTAGTAGTAGTAGTAGTAGTAGTAGTAGTAGTAGTAGTAGTAGTAGTAGTAGTAGTAGTAGTAGTAGTAGTAGTAGTAGTAGTAGTAGTAGTAGTAGTAGTAGTAGTAGTAGTACTAGTCCTAGTAGGCAACGGCCTGGCCTCCAGGCCGGGGGGGCCCGAGCCCCACGGACCGGCCTCCAGGCCGGGGGGGGGCCCGGCGGACCGGCCTCCAGGCCGGGGCTCTTCCCTATCGCCTTGGCGGCGCATTCCTGACAAGGATCGTGCCCCACTGGGAGCTCCAACTAGACAGGGTAAACCTGTTTGGTTTCATGAGCGTCTGGGCGCACCCCTCACGAGGATCGCGCCTAAGCAGGGACCTTCAGCTACACCTCAAAGGTTCCACGTCCATGCCGGACTTTGCACAGCTGGCAAGCTGACACATGGGAGCTGTTCTTTCTGTTTTTTTGTCGTACTTCGCCACAAGACTGCGTGGACGACCCTAAGGGGCACCATCGGGAAACTCCTGGCCTGGATGCCGGTCCGTTCGCACCAGCCCCGGCCTGGAGGCCGGTCCGTTGCCTAGTAGTAGTAGTAGTAGTAGTAGTAGTAGTAGTAGTAGTAGTAGTAGTAGTAGTAGTAGTAGTAGTAGTAGTAGAAGTAGTAGTAGTAGTAGTAGTAGTAGTAGTAGTAGTAGTAGTAGTAGTAGTAGTAGTAGTAGTAGTAGTAGTAGTAGTAGTAGTAGTAGTAGTAGTAGTAGTAGTAGTAGTAGTAGTTAGTAGTAGTAGTAGTAGTAGTAGTAGTAGTAGTAGTAGTAGTAGTAGTAGTAGTAGTAGTAGTAGTAGTAGTAGTAGTAGTAGTAGTAGTAGTAGTAGTAGTAGTAGTAGTAGTAGTAGTAGTAGTAGTAGTAGTAGTAGTAGTAGTAGTAGTAGTAGTAGTAGTAGTAGTAGTAGTAGTAGTAGTAGTAGTAGTAGTAGTAGTAGTAGTAGAAGTAGTAGTAGTAGTAGTAGTAGTAGTAGTAGTAGTAGTAGTAGTAGTAGTAGTAGTAGTAGTAGTAGTAGTAGTAGTAGTAGTAGTAGTAGTAGTAGTCGTAGTAGTAGTACGTAGTAGTAGTAGTAGTAGTAGTAGTAGTAGTAGTAGTAGTAGTAGTAGTAGTAGTAGTAGTAGTAGTAGTAGTAGTGTAGTAGTAGTAGTAGTAGTAGTAGTAGTAGTAGTAGTAGTAGTAGTAGTAGTAGTAGTAGTAGTAGTAGTAGTAGTAGTAGTAGTAGTAGGGTAGTAGTAGGGTAGTGGTAGTAGTAGTAGTAGTAGTAGTAGTAGTAGTAGTCGTAATCGTCGTAGTCGTCGTATAGTCTTAGTGTAGTAGTTGTAGTAGTTTGTGTAGTTGTGGTAGTAGTAGTAGTGTGTGTAATAGTAGTAGTAGTAGTCGTAGTAGAAATCGTGGTAGTAGTAGTCGCAATAGTAGTAGTATTGTTGTTTATCCCTCTCCTCCTCCTCCGCCTCCTCCTCCTCCTCTTCCTCCCCCTCCTCTTTCGCCTCCTCTGTCTACTCCTCCTCCTCCTGCTCCTGCTCCTCCTCCTCCTCCTCCTCCTCCTCCTCCTCCAAGCCTCCACAAATTGCCGTCGGAGGCGGCCAAAAGCCGCCGCCAGAGACCCTCGAACAAACCCCCCTTCCTGCCTGCTCCGACCAGATTCCGCTGGAGACTGCCCAAAGGAGCAGCAGAAAGAGGAGGAGGAGGAGGAGGAGGAGGAGGAGGACGAAGGGGAGGAGGAGGAGGAGGAGGAGGAGGAGGAGGAGGTGGAGGAGGAAGGGAGGAGAGGAGGTGGAGGAGGAGGAGGGGGAGGAGGTGGTGGAGGAGGAGGAGGAGGAGGAGAAGGAAGAGGAGGAGCAGCAGGAGGACACAGTCTTTTGCTTCCTGAGGACACTGGCGGCCTTCTGCAGGACCTGTGCCGGATACTCCTGGCCGGGGACCGACGGAGACCTCCAGATCCCGGGCATCCCCCTCCTCCTCCTCCTCCTCCTCCTCCTCCTCCTCCTCCTCCTCCTCCTCCTCCTCCTCCCCTCGAAGCAGAATCCGTTCAAGATCAATCTCAGGACGCCTTCCGGGCACCTCTCAGAGCCGCGCCCAGGCCGCGGCGACGAGGGCCCAGCGAAGGCCCAAAAAAGGAGTAGTTCGGAACGGGTGCCGAACAAACCAGAAGAGGCAACTGTCCGCAAGCCGAGTCTGGTCGAGGTGACCGAGGGGGGATGCCTGAGAGGCCCCGCAAAGGGCGGGAGACATCAAGAGCGAGCGAGCGAGCAAACAACGGGTCGGTTGGGCGAGATGGGATCGGCGGCGAGCCCAGGAGGAAGGCAGAGGGGACGGGCCTTCTCCAAGGTTCAGGAGGGCTCCCGCAATCTGTGGAGCCCTTCAAAAGCCTTCTCACCGAAGATGCAAGCGGCTTTTCTCAGAAGGCCCGCAGGCTTCCGAGAAGCCCAGCCACCTTCCGCGAGGGCCTGCAACCTTTCACTTAGCCCCTGGGCTCGCCGCCGAACGGGAGCAGCAGGCCGAGGCCAGCGGCGGCATGGAAGAGGAGGCTTGCCATGAAGGAGACGGGTCCTAAAACAAACAGCTCCCGGAGCCTGGGGCAGTGCCCCAGGACCAACTATTCATCCCGAGTCGATGTTCGACAACCCGTGGAGGAAGGCCCAAAACTGTGAAAAGCACGCCCCGGTGGCATAATATCTTGAGCAGCAGCATCATTCAAGAATGCAGAGAGCATTATGCTGCACTGTGAAGACGGGGGACCAGACGGGAGAGCATACACGGGAGACAATCAAACCACCGAGCCTGGGTCTGGCAAAGACCCCCCAACCCGCCTTATGGTCCCCTCGCTCAAAGGGCCCTACAACTGGAAAAGAAAGCCCCAGGAGGCCGCCCTGACGGTCCAAGAGGGCTCAGAATCGCCGAGGCATCGCTCCTAGACGCTCAAGATGGCCTCCAGACGGCCCCAGAGGCCTCCCAGACGCCTAAAGAGGCCTCCAAGAGCATTCCCAGCTGGGCCCCAAGACGCAAAATTCATGTCCGCCAGGTTTTGACACATTTTTGCGTTTCTACTTTACCGGCTTCCCAGCGCTCCAAGACGGCCCAAGAGGCCCCAAAGAATGCCCCCAGGGGGCGCCGAGAAGACCCAAGAGGCCCTAAAAGACGGCCCTAAGAACTCCCGTAAAGGTCCTCCCCGAGGTGGAACACGAATCGACATTTCGAGCTCACTGAGGACCCCCAGCAAGCCCCCAGCAGGACCCAAGAGGCCACGAGGAGGCCCCAACAGGCTCCCAAGAGGCTTCCAAGGGCCCTAAGGGGCCTCAAGACTGCCACCCTGAGGCCACCGAGAGCCCTCCGAAGAGATCCAAAGAAGCATTCATCATGCATCTGACCCACTACCCAAGCAGCCAAGGCCACATTTCTTCCAAATCGTCCCACCCCCTTTGAGAAATTTGCATTTTCAACATGTTCGCCTTCGGGGTTCTCGCAGCGTCCAAGACGATTCCCGAGGCCGCCCAAGAGATCCCCAACGGCATCCCAGAGGCCTCGTGGCGGGATGGGCCGAAGGCCACTATGTCCGCCGGCCCCTGTCGAGATTCATCGCAGGGGTGCCTGGCGTGCTGGACCCTTTCGGTTTTAGTTTCGGTTCTTTTTCAAAACGCGTCCGTCGTGCCTCTGTTTCCTCCAGTTGGCCCAAGATGGCGTCCAAGACGGCCAAGATGGCCCAGGATGGTCTCCAAGACGTCTCCAAGACGGCCCAAGATGGCCTCCAAGACGGCTAAGATGGCCCCAAGATGCCTCCAAGACGGCCCAAGATGTACCCAAGGCGGCCCAACAGGCCCGCAAGAGGCCTCCAAGACGGCCCAAGAGCCCTCCAAGACGTCCTCCAGGAAGGCCCGAAAGGGCCAAAATCATTGATTTTCCATAGGTTTTTGAAGGATTTTGGCATTTGCGCCTTTTCGGCTTTCCGACGGCCCAAGACGGCCCAAAAGGCCCCCAAGATCGCCCAAGAGGTCCCCCAAAGGGCCCCATGACGGCCCAAGTGGCCTCCAAGACGGCCCCAGGAGGGCCCCAAGACGGGACAAAAGGCCTCCAACACACCCAAGATGGCCTCCAAGACGCCCAAGATGGCCTCCAAGACGGCCCCGAAGCGCCCCAAGAGGGCCCCAAGTCGGCCCAGACAGGCCCCCAAGACGGCTCCCGACGGCGT